TTTTTATTAAATTCAAGTCCCCAGTTCACAATCTAGAATCCACGTTTTGTATCACTTATAGTTTTATTTTTCTCATATGACCAGCTGTCCAGAGGTAAGTAGTCCAGGGTTGTGATAGCAAGTTAGTGATGCTGGCAAGAGCTGACATTCTTTACGACATTCTGGTCCTTACCTTGTAGGGCCTTTGTCCCCCTGGTGGTCTCTTCCTAGTCACCAAATGGCCGCTGCAGCTGGGGCTTCAAGTTTGCTCTCTTGGAATATGTGGAAGGGGCACCGGGACAAGAGAGGCCAAAGCTGAGCCTGTTCCTTTTTCACAGATAAATAAAAGCTTTCCTAAAGTCCCAGCTGGGGACTTCTGTTTACACCTGCTTGACCAGAACTGCGTCACACGGTCATTCCCAGCTGCAAGGGACAATAACAAGAAAGAGTTTTGCTTTGGGATTTCTAAAGCAGAAAAGGACAAGGGACAAGCGGGTGTCGAATGGCTCCTGGGTAAGGTAATCGTCTACCATGTCCACCCCTGAGCTACATTGGGTCAGCTTTTTAAATGAGAGATATAAATTCTCATTAGCTATAAATTATTATTACATAGAACATATATTATATAGATATTATGCAGATATTATAGATAATATATAGATAACATAATAAAGTATATTATATAGAAATGGAAATATATTTATTTTATACTTCATCTATACATATACTTCATATATATATATATATATATATATCTGATTGGAGGTAAGGAGGAAGAGGTTGGAATGTCAGGAAAATTTGAATAATAATTAAAAAACCCCACAATATTGCCCCTTCTTGTTTAGACCTAGGTGCTTTTGACAGAGATTAATAANTAACCACTAAACTATTGTCTGGTCTATGAGTTTTTGTTTCTTTCTTTCTTTGCCTGGTTCCTTTGTTGCTTTCAGTTTTCTATCCCACATCTCAGTAAAGTCATAAGTAAAGTTTCTTGGTGCCTTTTCCTTCTCCCTCAGTAAAGACTTGGGATCAGGGTCAAGGGCAGTAGGTCAGAAAACAGCAGAGCCTGAATTGCCATTAACACAGAAGCCCGAAACATGTATGGAAAACTAAAGTATGAAGGCAAGAAGCTGGTCTCAGAAATGGAAGAAGTACTTAACCTTGTCAGATACCAAAGACAAAAGGTGTCCTGGGCGCTAGGGGAGGGGCTATTGCTGGCCACTGACTTGCCATACACTCTGATGGGAGTTGTGTAGGTGAGCCAGCAACCTAAACACTTGGGAACTGTCACCCACTTCCAGACACTGGGTGACTGGAATGTTCAATAACATTTAAAAAGCTGTTTCAAGAATACCTCTTTAAGTCTCTATTTCTACCTAATATTCCCTTGGCAGGGAGGAGGGGTGTGATTACCCTCTACGCACCTATAGCTACTAATAATAACGAAAGCTGACACAGAGAGCAATTTCTATGTACCAGGGACTTTTCTCTGTGCTTGGACATATAGTAACTCATTCAATCCTGACAGTAGCCTTATGAGCTGGACCCTATTATAATACTCATTTTCAGCCAACAAAAATGAGACAGAGACTAAGCAACTCTGCCCAAGGTCGCCACAGCTCTTCAGTTGTAGAACTGGGCAAACCTGCCTCGAAAGTCAGCTATTATCCACTCTGCTATGGGCAAGTACATCACAAAGATGAACGGAGAAAGGTAACTTCTCTTATCTAGTCCTTATGATCATATAGAACATAATTCCTATTCCAACAGACACCCCTTGAAGTCTCTGAAGACCAGCAGTTACTACATTTCTCTCAAATTTTCTCTATGACTCCAGTTTCTTTAGTGGGTTCTCTGATGGTATGCATGTGAATTCCTGCTTACTTGAATGCCCGAAAACTCATCTTTGAATGTGCACTACTTTGTCTATCTTGTTATTCATTTAGTTGATGCGTTGAGGGGATGGATAGCCACAACTCAGCCAAGAAGTACTTTGAAGGTAATTTTAAGGGCTCCAGGTGCAGGACCTTGAGACCCATCTCTGTTACATTTCATCTAGTATGCTCTTGATGGATCCTAAATGCCATGTGGCCTGTTCTCATTTTTTGTCTAATGCAAATGTAGTGAGAAGGGCTTTTATATCTTCATCTGATATTCTGACAAAGTATTTGGCCAAAGCCGAGGACAGTGCTGTGCAGAGAACACTGCTCACTTTTTATCCATCCCAAGTCAGCAATCTTTGAGCACAGTTGTTTTTGTTTTTGCTTTTAAGATATGTCTGTATTTCCTTATTTCACAAATAAAGCTTACTGAGCAAGCCCAGTTGTTTAGTAAGGATTCCACCTGATTGCGTTATCCATCAGTCCATATTTCTCCGCTTGGTCCAGAGTACTTTTGTGTAGTTAGGTAAAATATTCTGATAATGATCAGAAATCACGTGCCAACAGCATTTTTCAGTCCGGCTAGTTTAGGATCCTTAAGTGTTATGAGGTTAGGTTGATCTGACTTTAAACATTGAAACTATGTTGGCTGATTTGCAATCTTATGGCTCCTCTTCCAATCTGCAGAGTTCCTCAAAGATGGCCGATTGGTTCAACATTCGCTTTTTAAAAGTTTTTATACGTAATTTATCTATGCAAAGCATTTGAACACGTTTAGAGAAGCCAGGTACTGGTTTACCATCATTTTTATCTTGGCTTCTAGTTTCCTATCACTAATGTTTACTCTCCACCCTCCCATCCATGCATCCAACTACCTATTCATCCCATTTCTGCAGATCCTCTGACTCAAACTTTATGTGTTCAAAATTGTACTCATCATTCTTACTATCCACCTGACTGACTTTTTTTTTTTTATTGGGGAATTGGGGGGATGGGAACAGTGCTGGGGAATTGGGGAAAGGGGAACAGACAAGTTGCTGTCATTTTTTTTTTTTTTGGTTTATCTAACTCTTTGATTAACCTTAAACTAAAAAGACAGCTTAGACATTTTTCTTAACTCGCTGTCTCCCCACTACAAAAAAATCAGCCCCCAAATCCCATAGTTGATACCTCCTGTATGTCTCTCATATCCATTGCCATTGCTTTTCACAGTTTATTACATGAGTTATTGCAATAGCATGCCAAAAGATGCCCTTTCACCAGCCTGGCCACTCCTAACTATTCTCTACTTTGTTGCCAAACTGACCTTGCTAAGACACAATTTTGATCAGGCATACTCATGGGTAAAACCTTTTAATAAATCTCTGTAACTTTCAGGGTAAAAATCCAAATTCATTAGCTTACTACCAAAGATCCTTGAGATTGTAGCCCTGCTTAGGGCCCCAAGCTTGTTGCTCTCTATCTTCCAATAAACGTTATTTGTCCCAACTTTACCAAACTATTTATGATTCACTACAATAGTCAAGAGTGCTCAGATCTCCAGTTTTTTACAAGTTCGTTACCTTCTTTATTCAGTGCTTTTTTTTTTCCTCTTTTCACTTAACAAACCCTGCTGTTGCTTTAAGACTCAATACAAGAACCATTCTCTCTGTGACACTCTCCTTCCCATCATCCAATTCTGATTTGTATTTGCCCTTTGTGCTCCTACTGCATCCTGCATATATCTCTATAATAGTACCTAGTATTGTCAACATGTATTTTTTCTGCCTCCCCATTAGACTCTGAGCAACTCAGAGTCATGCATTTTCTTGTACTTTTCTTGCTCATCTTTATATATATGAAAGGCTTAGCACAGTGTCTGACGTACAGGGGAGGTAGTCCATAAATGTTTATCAAATAACAAAATGAATAAGTCTAAATAATTCTCATTGGATGAAGAACTAGAAGAAAATGTACTCTAAGGAGTTATGTTTTTCTTTTGTCTCCCGCATGCCCCAAGCAGGTGGTCTATGCCTTCCTCATTTTGCCCCAAACTGTTAAGCTAACTTTAAGATTCCTATTTGTTCTTTACATTCTAGGGTCCACCGGACTAACTTATAAGCAGAATTTTTTGTAACGTAACTCATTCACATGTTAAAGGATGTGTGGGCTTGGTGGTTGGTTAACTCCAAAATATGCAGCCTGTTTATTGTAAGGCTATCCAAATTCCCCAATCTCAGAAGCTGTCAAGCTCATCAGCTTCAACGTCAGAAGGCTTACACAGAAGAGAGAGTAATTGAAATCTTTCTCTTTTAGATAAGTATTTATCTTTAAATATTCATGGTTATTCTGAGAATAAATTTTCAAAAGTCAAGCACTGGTTTATGTGATTATAAAGGGCAAAAACAACACACGGTGATAGCAAGAATCTTCTATTAGCATTTTTAGCAACGTTATCCAGATCTTAACCCAACTGTTTGAAGTACTTGCCATACAACAGTATTTTCTCTCTTCAGATTGTTTGAAGTCCTTTTGGGTAATATTTTTAGAAATTTTATTATAATCACACAACACTACACACAACTCAAGGAGTGCCTCCATTTGGATCTGGAAACTTGTCTCAGTTTACAAGTGTGTACAAGTGAATATGCCAAGCGTACTTAGTCAAATAATCTGTTTGTTTAGAACAATATGGGCATCACATTTAGATAACATCTAAAAATTTAGATAGCACCTAAAATTTGACTTAGGTTTTGTATTATTGCACTTATTAGAGTCAAAGTGTTTTTCTGCCAGTGAGGAAAAAATAAATGATAATGAGTAAGGGTTTTGTGCCTCATAATTGCTGAAAGAGTTTTCCCACGAGCTTTTCAAATGCAGCTCCTGAATGGGTCCACTTTATTTAAAAAAGAAAGAAAAAGAAAAAAAGATAAGTGATACCACTTAAGAACCAAATAATTTCTGGCATCTAACAACTTAATACTCACTGACAGTTCTTTATGACAAAGGCTAACCCTATCAACAAAGGAGGCATGTCTTTAAACAGGCACCAGTTTCAATGTGTGGAGACTGAAAGGTAAACAACTACACTCAAAATCCTAAGTCCTGGCTTCAGGTTCCAATTCTGTTACAAAACAAATAGCAAGTCGCTAATCTTCTCCAGACCTCTGTTTCCTCTGGAAGAGAAGGAAGTTGGATTTCATAACCACTGGAATGCCTTCTTGCTGGAAAGTTCATGGTCAAAAATTGCATGAGACAATGGAATGATAGACTTGTAAGAAGTCTCTCATATATGTTGTTTTGTTACTCACTGATTTATCTGTGATTTGCTCTTATACCCACTCTTCGTTCTTGATATTGCTTGTCATTGTTGCATAAATTGCCCTAGTCATTGTCATCTGATGCAAAACTAAGGAGGACTCATTGGGGAAAAAAATGTGGTTTAAGAGTTTGTCCTGAACTTGGACCCTTCTCTTGTCTCCTACATGTTTGATATGTTGTTCCTCAGAAGATGCTTTATTTTCAGACATAGAGAGAATAATAATAATAATTATTATTA